AAACAGCGCAATTCGAGTAAGTTTTTCCGTTTGCTTGTCTTTTTTGCATCTTTGCTTACGCCAATAAATCCCTGAAGCGAAATGAAAAACTCGTAAAAAAGTTCATTACACACAAATTGGGTCGGGACGAAACTTGAAATTATTGGCAAATAATATAAAGCGGAAAGCAAATCAAATAAAACGGAAATAGTTGCTGATCACATGTAATAAAAATGAGTATGAATCAACTCACAACAACAACAACTACAGCAATCCTAACCCGAAGAATCAAAAAAGCAAAAAAAAATAAATAAATATGAAAATCGAAAGCATCGAAAGGCAAAAAACTTTCAACCATTCTGTTTTTATGAGTGTTTTTAATAGTTTCGGACATGGTGAGCATTAAATTAGAGAATGGAATGAATCTACCAGATACTTAAGTCTTTGATAGAGTTTTGATTGAACTTTTTTTTCAGAAATCAATGTCTGTGAAATTTTTGAACGACGAAATGTTAAATGTTACGACCGTAACGTTGGCATGTGTCAGCCAAGCAAGGACAAACAATTATGAGTTTTACTATATGAGCCGGAACGAAAGTGAATGACAGTATATAGTATATCATATATAGTAATCAGTTCGGAAAATTTGTATACTTATACTTGAATAGATCATAAATATGAGGAAGAGTTGTTTCAATCACTTTGTTCTTTGAATCTGATTAAATTAAATTAGAAAGATTGATTTTATGAAAAAAGAATACAATTTATTTGACTTGGATTTTAGTAGAGTTTACAATTTTAAATTTTACTAATTCCTAATTTGATGACTCTAATAAAAACGTTAAAGTTTGATAAAGTCTGGCATGTTGGACTCATTAAGAAACTAACAGGTACCCTTCCAACTGATTATTGTGACATCTTAGAGACATACTTGACTGATCGGTTTTTACGTATTAAATATAATATGGATTTTAGTAGAGTTTGCAAATTTAAATTTTACTAATTCCTAATTTGATGACTCTAATAAAAACGTTAAAGTTTGATAAAGTCTGGCATGTTGGACTCATTATGTTAAGAAACTAACAGATACCCTTCCAACTGATTATTGTGACATCTTAGAGTCATACTTGACTGATCGGTATTTACGTATTAAATATAAAAATAATTTTTCTGAAGTAAAACCTATAAAAGGAAATATACTAAACAAAGTTGAAGACGTTTAAGTTTTAATTCTACTATTGACAAATAGATAGCACTCCTAGAACTTAATAACATCCCAGTACATATGAAACAAGTATCTTTAATATTGAGTTTAATGTCATTTACTTCCCCACTTTTAACTACTTAACCTGAGTAAATAATGTAAACCATCAAATATGTTAAAAATCTTTAAAGTGTGCGCATGGGAAATCGTTTAACCTGAAAACAATCTCTGACATAAAAACTTCAAATGTCAGAATGCATTATCGAAGAAGACAAATAAGCGATGCTATCAGATATGAAATAATGGAAAGCGTTCCACAATGATCACAAAACAAAATATCAAACAGCACAAAATGCAATTTAGTGAAATGCATAGAAAATTTTCCTTTCCTTCACAATTTTCATGTTATTTTATTTTAGTTTTTCTTTCAAATTTGTTTTTCTTTGTGAGGATATCACATCTGGTATGTTTCGTTTCCCTAGCTTTTTCTTCCATTCCAAGCGTTTCGTTTAGTTTTCAAATTTTAGTTGATTTAAGTTTGTGATGCTTCAATTTCACAAGAAAATTTGCTGAGTTACTTATGCTGACTCCCAAAATCCCAGTTCAATATTATCAATTTCGCTATGAAATTGTAGAGAATATAAAGAACATTAAGGCATAAAGTTTCCTCTTAAATTGGTATGGACTTTTGTTTTTAGTATTTTTCTTCTCTGGCAACACACACCAGTTTCTTCACATCTATTTTATTCTTAAAGTGAATTGTTTCTCAAAATTGGCAATTTTATAATATAAAAAAAGATTTTTTAAATTTTTTCCAATGATTAATAATTTCAATTTTTAAAATCAAAAAGCATTTTTATTGGATTACTGCGATAACTGTAATCTACTGAAATAAGCAATAATAATTAATAGAGTAGATCAAGAACAGATAACTAACTTTTAAATATAATATTAAATATTGTGGGGTATGTGGAAAAATATTCAAAAATAAAAGTTCATCAAGCTATTGGTTTTCAATAACAAACAGTTATTAAGTAAAAGATTTAAACATTTAAAATCAAATTTGTTTTAAAATAAGCATGGTCAATACAGACTAGGGATTCATGCTAGAAGATTTAATCTCCCTTTCAATCATACCTATCGTAGATGTGGGAAACAGGATAAAAGTGCCTCTCATCGACTCTGTCTTTGCCCATCTCATGCATGGCGACGATTAATACTTTAGAACTCTCCTTCTTTAGGATATTGATCAATTACAAGACCTCCCACTAAACAGCATTCTAAGCTTCGCCAGAGGTTCTAGTTGGTTTTAAATCCTAAGTTTCCTCTGTATACGGTAAGACAATGGGCCGATAAGCCTAAGTGGATCGCAAGTATAATCTAACCTAACCTAAGCATGGTCAAAAAGGTAAAGAATACCATGAATTGACCATTAATCGATAACCAAAAATTAGTGCAGTCCACAACAAGGCCCCTGTTAGAAAAGTTTTTTACAACCAAGAGACGTAGTCACTGGTACGATATTCTTAATAAATCCAAGCTAGAATGCTGGTTTGTCCCTACAACTATATTAGCTGAAAGAGTTGGATACCCCTGAAAGGAGTCCCTGAAAAAACAGAACTACGACCCTGCCTAAAGGTAACTGTGTCATCTAGTCACATTATTTGTAATTGTATGGCTTTGATGTAAACCAAGAGAAGTTTGCTGAACCGAGAGTTGCTATCACCGTCTGATGTTAGGAATTCCTCAACATTAGTTAGAAAGGAGCAGGCTTACTTTTTAAGGTCTTGATTCAAATTGTAGGTAAGAAGTAATTTCTTCTGACTTATGCAGAAAGAAATTATATGGATACTATTAGTTCCGGGTTACCCAAAAATTTCTTAAAAAGAAATAAAAGAAAATCCTGACGAAAAGAAAACGTGCAGCTACACGGTCTGTGAACCTGAAACTTAACTTTCACCTAGAGATAGACAATTACTTCTGATTTATTCAGCAAGGAGATGAGAAACAGATAAATCTTGCTGTGAGAATCTGCCAAGACTGTCACAATCACTATCATTCAAAGTATGGTATCTCTCAAAATAAATCGATTGTATGCAAATTAATAAAAATAAAATGAACTATTATAGGAATGTCAACAAGACACAATATTCTATTCAACATTATCCCTCTAGAATATCGGTAACTTGCTTTAATGGAACTAATAGGTTTTGTGGAAAAGAAAATGAGATCGCAAAAAACATGCTGTAAGCGTGTTGGATACTAATGTATAAAGGAAAAGAATATTTAGGTGGGCTACATATTTATATTTTAATGCTTCTAGTGGTTCGTAGGTGTCGCTTTCAATAATTTTCAGCCAACCTGTATAAACAACATTATTTTTTAATACAGGTTTAATATATTAAATATTACAGATATAAAATTAATCGTATAATGTTCTTTCTCACGTTTATCTATAATTTAATATACACAAGTCATTGATGAAGAGCAAGGAATCTTTTAGTTATATTTATATTTGATTTTTGTGGGAATTTAGTAATATTTTTAAGTAAAATAAATGCAAATGCCTTTTAACAAGTCTTTCTTATACAGTATAAATCTTTGTGAAATTAAATATTATATTTCCTAAACATAAGATATAAACATAAAATCACTTTTCTCAATATTTTTCAATTCCATTTCATTAATTGAAGCCAACACTCAACTAAAGCCTGGCCCTGGGTGCGACCTGAATCAATAGTGCGAATAAAACAAACATTTTGAAGGTTAAAGATGCAAGAAAATAATTTCAAAATATAAAGGAAATTGAGGTAAATAAAAAGTATTTACCCTCTTTACACTTTCAGAACTAAACAAGCAAAAGCATTGAGTTTCATAAATGCAAATGCATGAATGCTCGAATCCATATAAATTTTCTTAAACGCACATGCCTTGCCACACAACTAAAAGCATTTTCCTTAAACGTTTTGTGAAAATTCTTTTTTAGGTATCCTTCCGTCCCCCCAAAACTAGAAAATATTCAAATGCACGGGAAAAAG